ATTCATTACTTTTGGCATTCTTAACATGACCCAGACTCGAGCCCACTACCAAAGGAAAAAATATTCGGTATAATCGTTACACCACGTTTGCAGTACCACGTGGTATAATCATCCACTAATAGATAAACAAGTCAACAAATGGGCCCCATTAAAACACATAATCAGCCGGCCATGTCAATATTAACCATCTCTATGATAGAATGTGGGCCTTATTTTATCTTTTTTTTTTTGTTATTTTCTTTTTGGATTGTTATATCCAATATTTACTCGGTCTGTTTGATAGAGGTGGATGAAAAAATAGATGGATGAAAAGTGCGATTGTTACAATTTATATTCTTCAAGGCAGAAATCATTTCTTCCCTCATTTGTGTTTGGTAAGGCAGGAATAATATTAGCGTGATGTCAGATCAAGCGGCATTCAAGGGCATTTTCGCGGGTTGACGAGTCGTCAATGAGACCCTCAGTTCTAGGGACATCATATCCTCCTCGACATCATTCTCATCTGTATGTCACCCACTCCATGGCATTTCAGCATTTAGTGGTCACCTCAGCGTCTACCTCCATACAATAGGATAAGCTTTGACTTTGAAGATAGAAATGATTGGCTAAGGCCAACACGCTCGTGATCGAGATAAAAGCAGCTTTTAAGTATTTCACCTTGAGGGCGATGTTGACTCTCAGTTATTGGCCCCCACTCCAAGGCAATTAGAATGATTAAAAAGTAATTCGATGACCAATGATAGAGGCGTATGGTGTATGAAACAATTAATTCTTGACCCCTCAAAGGAAAGATTGGCCAAAATGCCACTGTACATACACGACCATGCCTAGGGCACATTAAATAATTCGACAAAAGCAAGAGACAAATTCACTACTTGACAGAGCATAGAAGAATAAATTAAGTGCTCGGGGGTGCCCCGAGTGTGAAGCTGTGGNATTATTGGGCCCCATTCCAAGGCAATTAGAATGATCAAAAAGTAATTTGATGACTAATGATAGAGGCGTACGGTGTACATAACAATTAATTCTTGACCCCTCAAAGGAAAAATTAACCAAAATGCCCCTAGGCATACACGACCATGCCTAGGGCGCATTAAATAATTCGACAAAAACAAGAGACACATTCACTACTTGGCAAAGCATAGAAGAATACATTAAGTGCTTGGGGTCCCCTGAGTGCGAAGCTGTGGAAACACATGGTGCAGAGAAAAGCAGACGCTCTAGTCGAGGTTTGCACAACAAATATTATCCCCTTATACGAACCAACTAGGAGCTTTCCTCCAAGGGGATCCAATTGTCTGCCTCAATTAACTCCTACAAGGTATAAAAAACACACTCAAGCTCAATGTAAAAGTATGCAATCTCTTGTCCAAGCAACACAACAGTGTTCTTAACCCCCTTTCTTGAATACTCATTAATTCAAGTTAGGTTTGGGTTAGGCTTAAGCCAAAAAATTTCGACTTGAACTAAATTCGACCAGTACTCCAAGGGGGGAGGGGGGTTGGGTTCAATTTGGTCCATCCAAGTTAACATGAATCGTTTGCACAAAAATTGAAATGGCGCCAGAAGAGTATGTTCTTATGCGCCCCGCAAATGATTTTTAATTTTTCTTTCCCGACAAAATTATTTTTATATCTTTTTTCCTTTTTTATATTCATTACTTTTGGCATTCTTAACATGACCCAGACTCGAGCCCACTACCAAAGGAAAAAATATTCGGTATAATCGTTACACCACGTTTGCAGTACCACGTGGTATAATCATCCACTAATAGATAAACAAGTCAACAAATGGGCCCCATTAAAACACATAATCAGCCGGCCATGTCAATATTAACCATCTCTATGATAGAATGTGGGCCTTATTTTATCTTTTTTTTTTTTTTTGTTATTTTCTTTTTGGATTGTTATATCCAATATTTACTCGGTCTGTTTGATAGAGGTGGATGAAAAAATAGATGGATGAAAAGTGCGATTGTTACAATTTATATTCTTCAAGGCAGAAATCATTTCTTCCCTCATTTGTGTTTGGTAAGGCAGGAATAATATTAGCGTGATGTCAAATCAAGCGGCATTCAAGGGTATTTTCGCGGGTTGACGAGTCGTCAATGAGACCCTCGGTTCTAGGGACATCATATCCTCCTCGACATCATTCTCATCTGTATGTCACCCACTCCATGGCATTTCAGCATTTAGTGGTCACCTCAGCGTCTACCACCATACAATAGGATAAGCTTTGACTTTGAAGATAGAAATGATTGGCTAAGGCCAACACGCTCGTGATCGAGATAAAAGCAGCTTTTAAGTATTTCACCTTGAGGGCGATGTTGACTCTCAGTTATTGGCCCCCACTCCAAGGCAATTAGAATGATTAAAAAGTAATTCGATGACCAATGATAGAGGCGTATGGTGTATGAAACAATTAATTCTTGACCCCTCAAAGGAAAGATTGGCCAAAATGCCCCTGTACATACACGACCATGCCTAGGGCACATTAAATAATTCGACAAAAGCAAGAGACACATTCACTACTTAACAGAGCATAGAAGAATAAATTAAGTGCTCGGGGGTGCCCCGAGTGTGAAGCTGTGGAAACACATGGTGCAACTGTGAATACATTATCCCTTTGTACGAACCAACTAGGAGCTTTCCTCCAAGGGGATCCAATTGTCCGCCTCAATTAACTCCTACAAGGTATAAAAAAACACACTCAAGCTCAATGTAAAGGTATGCAATCTCTTGTCTAAGCAACACAACAATGTTCTTAACCCCCCTTTCTTGAATACTCATTAATTCAAGTTAGGTTTGGGTTAGGCTTAGGTCAAAAAATTTTGACTTGAACTAAGTACGATAAATACTCCCGGGGGGGGGGGGGGGGGGGGGGGTTGTAATTTAATGGAGCTTGCTTTAATGGCCAACATAAACTTAGTATGGCATTTATTTATTTAATTAAAAAAAAAGAGATTATATATTTATCATTTATTCTCTAGTGCATTGATAGCAAAACTTGACCAAAAGAGGTAAATTGAGTCTTTGTAATAATTAGAATAGTTCTTTATCAATAATTTTATGTTATTCATTAATTACATTACTATCATCATATCCAATTTCATATATGCATGCTTAGTAAATTCCAACTTTTTTCTCATGTATTCATCTTTCTTCGAAGTTTCCACCGTCAATCGAAGTGAAATTTTATGTAGGCATTCTAGAAGATAATTTCAAGGCCATTAGATTCGACTAATTATATAATATTTCGAAATTCAATGTTGGTCCATTTGAATCTATTGTCTAATACCGCNGCCAAAAGAGTACGTTCTTATGCGCCCGCAAATGATTTTTAATTTTTTTTTTCCCAACAAAATTATTTTAATATCTTTTTTCCTTTTTTATATTCATTACTTTTGGCATTCTTAACATGACCCAGACTCGAACCCACTACCAAATGAAAAAATATTGGGTATAATCGTTATACCACGTGATATAATTGTCCACTAATAAATAAACAAGTCAACAAATGAGCCCCATTAAAACACATAACCAGCTAGCCATGTCAATATTAACCACCTTTATGATAGAATGTGGACTCTATTTTATCCTTTTTTGTTATTTTCTTTTTGGATTGTTATATCTAATATTTACTCGGTTTGTTTGATAGGGTGGATGAAAAAATAAATGGATGAAAAATACGATTGTTACAATTTCTATTTTTTAAGGTAGGAATCATTTCCTTCCCTCATTTGTCTTTGGTAAGAGAGATGAAAAGTATGAATGATTAATTTTTTTTTGTGTTTGATAAAAGGGATGAAAAATATAAATGATTGATTTTTTTGTGTTTAATAAAATAAAAAAGTGTTTTTCATATTTGTATATTTGTATATTTTTACAAAGTATTAATACATATTTATTACTATATCTATATATGAACTTAATGCATGCATAATATGTAATTGACAAATATGATATATACATATATTAAAAGTTATTTAAAAAAATATATATTTTAACATAAATAATTAATTTTTCATCAGTTTTTTCTCTCAATTTTAGAGAAATTAATTTTAATGAGCAGAAAGAAAAATTCATCGATCTTTTTTATTTTTTTTCCTTAGAGTCCATTTGGTTAATAAGAAAAAGATGATGGAAAGTGAAAGAGGTAGAAAGTGAAGTGAAAGAAAATAAAGCAAAAGAAAATATAATTTTATGTATGTATTTGGTTAGCATGAAAAACTTTTAAGAAAATTTTAAAACAATCTCATTCCATTGTTTGAAAAAAAAGAAAGTTATAAATTTTTTTTCTAATTGTCTAAATTATCCTTAAGTATTTTAACTTGGTTTAAAGAAGAAAAATATATTTTTTTTTATTCAAATTTTAAAAAAATTGGCTCTTAACCTAATTCAGGAATAAAGAACGACTCAAACTTTAATGTCTAGATCAAATTATATGATTAGCTTAATTTGTACACATTTTTTTAAAATTAATAACTAATTGAATATTTTAAGAAAAATAAGGGTAAATGAGAGATTAAGTTATTGAATACAACTTTTTTATTTTTTTTTTGTGTTTTTTGCAAAAAAAAAAAAGGTTAATTAGATGTGAGAAAATTTAAATATGAGAAAAAATTATTATTTTTATTTTATGTTAAATAATCGTATGTAAAATTTTAAAATTTTTTTCTCATATTTNTGAGAGATTAAGTTATTGAATACAACTTTTTTATTTTTTTTTGTGTTTTTTGCAAAAAAAAAAGAGGTTAATTAGATGTGAGAAAATTTAAATATGAGAAAAAATTATTTTTTTATTTTATGTTAAATAATCGTATGTAAAATTTTAAAATTTTTTTCTCATATTTTTTTCCATTTTCTTACTAACGTAGCCTTACTTATTTATTCTCGAAGCTTCCATACTTGTGAATTTCTTCCTCGCATTTTTCTTTCGTGGTACCGAACAACCCCTATAAATACTCAAGTAACACTTTCTCTATCTTCCCACTCTCATTTCTTTTCCTTCTTTGGGACGCCAAGAGGAGGGAAGAGAGAGAGTGGCGAGCTTCTCTGTTCGATTGCCTCTTCAGTTCTCAGTAAGCACATCTGTGATTGATCTTTCTATGTGCATTGTTTAATTTGTCATTATGGATTTTACAATATCACTTTCTGACTATGGAGTTTTGTGATTGTTGTTGAAAGCAATGATCGATGTCGATAATTTCTTGAAAATCGAAACTATAGTCTAGAAGAACACCAGGCATTCTAAAGAGTGTTTCGTTATTTGTTTATGTTAAATCTCATATGTCCGTGAATACAATTTCAAGTTTCTTTTAGCGATGATTGAACACTTTACTACTGAATTTCTTACTTTAAAAATTACGTTATTGTGTGAAGATTGCTATACCTAATGTTACCTTTTGGTTTTGGTTATTACGAATCTGAAGGCAATGGAAGACTCTTACTAATCTGGGTATATTCATTCTTCAAAAGCATTGCTTGATTATGCTTAATATTGTTGAGTTGTGTTTCTATTATTTCAATTGCATATTCCACTGCTAACTGTGTTGGGCCTTAAATTTCACTAATAATGGCCTGGTATGTCTTGTCTCAAGGCATAATCCCTATCCTTTCAATATTCTTGGGTAGGTTTAGCTTCTTGTTTAATATAGAGCGGGTTTAGCTTTTCGTATGATATAACATCTCTTGTTCATATTTCTATCATAAGTTACAAGCTCTGTGTATTAGTTCCCTTTACTTTATTTCCATGATTTCTAAGCCTGGTATTTACAAAATTAGAGAATGACCTGTAAATGCTTGAGTAGATTTCCAAATGCGATGTTCAATTCCTATATTTCATTTTAACAATGTTTGTTTGTTCTTTATGCTGCGGACAATGAAGATGGAAGTACTTCCTCCAAGCATTTCATATTCTGACGATGACCAAAGAAACTTGGAGCAGTTGCTCGAAACTTTCGGGTCCATTGTTTCTCTTGAGGATATAGCCTCCGCTTATTGTCAAGCAGGTCGCAATGTAGACACAGCAGGTGAATTACTCTGTAATCTACAGCGAAGCACCTCCAGCACTTCCAGCTTTGCACCGAAGGATGAAATGGAGGGTGCAAGCACATCTTCTGATTTTTCATCCAAAAATATGTTGGTGAATCCTCTTGCAGAAGGAAATTCCAAATTATCAAAGGCAAAAAAGTGTTCAGCATCAATGGGCACTGTTTCAGGTGTAATTGGAAGACAATATGGTAGGCAGAAGCTTTTAACTGATCAATCTTGTAAGGTGACCAAACCACTGAAATTAAATTCAGTGGAATTAACTACTTCTGAGATTCGGGGTGAGAAACTTTCACCAGATACAATGACAGTGAGGGAAACCATGACTAAAGATGTTGAGGAGTTTCTTTTTACAATGCTTGGAGATGGCTTTTCACTAGGCATGGATGTAATCCAAGAAGTACTAGGTAAGCAGATTTCACTTGTGTGCCATCTGAACTTTTTCTTTTTGGGTGAATATGTGCCATCTAAACTTTATATTTCTGCCAATCTAACATTTTAAAGTGAATTCTCTTGTATTTGTGGGTGTATATATATCGCTGGCTAAGTAATGAGTTCTGAGAATCTGCAGTATACTGTGCATTTTACTATCACAATTGAGAGATCTCTGAATCCAGTGATCACTGCAGATTTGCAACATCAGATTAATCACTGGCTCCTTATTGATTTATTTTTTTTGCAATTATGCTGTCAACCAGAGTGCACTATCTGGACTTTTTTTTTGGTGCTTCAGATGCTACTTCGGATTTCTGCCATTGCTGTTATTGTCTCACAATTGTAACTTGTTTCAAACATTGTCAACTTTCCATTCTGAGATTCTGAAATTATATTTATGTTGTTTTGTTTATCAAGTTCACACGTGATTATCATGACGTGTAATCAGTCACTTTGTTGAATTTGCAGGTCTTTGTGGATACGATATAGAAAAGGTAAGAGTACGTCACTAAGTAGACATGTGGTTGTTCAATAGTTTCTCTGTTTATCATCGAAAAGAAAAACTAGATCCACTTTTTGCAGTTGAATTATTAGAATACATTTTAACCGTTGCTTCTATGTGTTCTGGAGGTGATGCAGAGCGTGGAGAGACTTCTGGATCTGTCAGCATCTAAGTTGGAGAAGAATAATGAGGTTTTGAGCATGGCTGCTCAAAAAGTAAGCTTTTAATTTTAGAGAACAAACAAGCTAATGGGTGCGTTCATACATTAGATGTTTTTTTGTAGAGTTGGAGGTTTTGGTGTGAAATGGTCATCCTTGTCCTCATGTTTATATACCAGCAAATAGCCTGTTTTGTCTATGCATTTCAGTGTTACTTTGAATTGAATAATGTGAGGCCCAAAACATCAAGATTGATATGCTCTGATCATTTATGATCATTATTTGCTGGTATATAAAGATATGAGTGTTCAGTTTACATTCAAGTTTTCTTTTTTTTTTTTTTATTCTTTTTGTTTTTAATGAACATTGTTGGATTGAACAAATCCTTTGAGTAGTCTTGACATTTCTGAAATGTACTTTAGAGCCATGATTGCCCAGTCTTCCTTTCTTCTTTTTGTTAGCATTAATGAGATAGTTGTTGCTGGGTACTCTATTGTCTCTGAGGAATCTTTCAGTGCTCACCTTACTGCAAGTAGAATAGCAAGTTGATAAAATTCTTTAATATGGTCTTCTTTCTAGCATTATTTGTAATGCATTCACTTTTTTCCCTTCACTTTTAATTTCTTCTGGCTTTTATTTTTTCGGGATGAGAGGATCTTCAAGTAGAATTCATTAATCTGTTTCATTCTTTTAGCGTGATTTAGTTACAGTATTCAGCTGTCATTTATGCCTCTCAAGTCTCAACGTGTTTGTTTTAACACTTAAATATTTTTATTTTGGCTGTCACTCATGACTGTGACCAGTATTTTTTTGCCTTTTCTTACGTGCATGTGAAGAAGTCACTAGACAAAAATTTCCTGCAAGTTGTATCGATTTCACATTCAATAATTCATCCTGATTGTATTGGATTACACTGTATCACTCTAAGCAGTAGTCAGACCTTTCACAATGTATTCAAGATTAGTTGCTGTTTATAGCTTTTGCCCTTGTCATGATGATAGACGTGTAAAGACATGGGTTCAGTGCTGTTCCACTGTGAAATCGGCGAATCTTCAATCATAGTTTTCCCCCTTGTGAACACCAACTGTTTTTCATTTTAATTTGGTCCAACTTTCTGTTTACTATAAGATTGAATTTGCATGTTTCAACCCTGCAGCTATTAAAAAATATTTTTCTCAGTATATTTTAAGATTATGCTACAATTTTGGCAAGTCACTCTTGACAATAGCAGTCTCTATAAGGATCAAGTTAACCTTGATTTGGATACTTGTCATTTGCTCTTATCTAATCTCTGTTAACAGTCTATGGAGAAATGTCCAGACATCAAATCGCTTCCCTGTCATTCTCAAGAAACAATGCAGTGTATAGATTCTTCCCAAAAGTAAGTTGTTTCCCTGGGTAGTATTTACTTCCTTTCTGAAGGACTATAATCTTTTACCAATTGCCTTAGTCATATGCATATGTTTGTACTGGGTAGAAGTCAATTTTTTTTTTCTTTTTGCGGTTTGCATCATGCAGCAGGAAAGCTAGATCGATGACTAAAAATGAACTAGATTTACCTAATGGAGTCAAAGACCGATATGATCTTCAGAAAGAAGTATTGGAAGCATTGTTCAATATTTCTAAGAGATTTGAAGAAGAACCAATAAGAACTTTCCCAGGGAAGGAAGCAAGGAGGTCAAGATCATTTGGTCAAGTTGTCCTTGAACCATTGAGACACACATCTACATTACATAGTATGGACACTGCAAAACCGCAAATCGCTGAGGAGGGTGAGCACTTTGGTACATATCTTACAAATATGGGAAAAGGTTCTATTTGCTGAAGTTATGTGTAGAGGTGGCAGAAATGAAAGGACATGACTATTATCTGCTCATTGTTTGACTTTTTATATTGTTTTGAAATCATTGAAGATTCATGTGTGGAAGTTATGATTCGTTAAACTTTAGTTCATTTAATAATCTAAAAATTTAAGGCTTAAAATCTTCACTAGTTGATTGNTTGTTTTGAAATCATTGCAGATTCATGTGTGGAAGTTATGATTCATTAAACTTTAGTTCATTTAATAATCTAAAAATTTAAGGCTTAAAACCTTCACTAGTTGATTGAAAGTGGTGAAATTTTGGGGGTCTTTTTGCTTGATTTTCAANCTGTTTTGAAATCATTGAAGATTCATGTGTGGAAGTTATGATTCGTTAAACTTTAGTTCATTTAATAATCTAAAAATTTAAGGCTTAAAATCTTCACTAGTTGATTGAAAGTGGTGAAATTTTGGGGGTCTTTTTGCTTGATTTTCAAAGCAGACAAATGTTTAAAGAGAAATTGTTAATTAATTTGTTCTCATGTAGGTCTGAAATTTATGAGGAAAGTTGATAAGGTTTGACCTGGGTTCCTTCATCAGGAAGCTGCTACAGATCATACCGAGGCATAAAAAAATGCATTATCCACTTATGACTTAACGATTAGTGACTTGAGTTGTTGAGCAGCCATTTGGGTTCTTCAGCAATGGTCCCATCCTAATATATTTTTCCTTGACAATTCTTTACCTTTCATTGAGGGATGTCACACAAGATATTGCCCTCGAAGACCAAGCAACTGATCCATACAAGCTGATATTTGTCCCTCTTGTAACTTCTACTTCACAGAGGGGAAGCCTTTTTGAACATATTAGAGATTCAGGTTTTGATTAATTGTTTCTAGCTAAATTTTCTTTTGAAAGCTTCAAGTTTTGTAGCTCAACCAATCCTGTTCTCTTATAGCTGGTGAGTTGCATCATATACCCTAATTTCCATGATATGAAACATTAATGAAGATACAAAGTTGGCTTTACAGACAGAACGGGTTCAATTATGGAACTTGCATACAAAAATGACTTTTGGACCTATTTTAGATTCTCAACATACAGACAAGTCATTAAGGGTAGCCTTAAGTGAAGTAAACTGTCTTAGAATTCGGTGTCCAAACCAATTTGGGAAGGGAATGACCTCCTCGTTGAATCCAATCCAATATTTATAACCATAGCAGAACAGAAATTGGTAGGCTGACAAGGTCCAGTTGGCTCACTCCTCTAGCACTAGTGTCCAGCTCCCCCCCTTTTTCCAGCATATGAACTAAGATCAGTCTAGGTTGTGTCTATGCCTAATGTAGGGGCATGACTACCACTCGTACTCACTCTATCCAGTACATGAACAATTATTATAGGTGTCAAATCTTGTCGCTCCATACATTTCCACTGCGGTTGTCTGCTGAACTTCAAAACCTGAAAATTGTGGAACACGATTAGGCAAATGCTTATTCTGGTTTATGGCAATTTTGTAATTTTTGTGGTTTAGTAGAGGTTCGTCAATTGCATATGTTTTGTTTTGCTTGTTCTTTAATTCTGTACTGTCCCCTGTTATGTTAACGTTCTTTGGTACATATGTCTGCTTGGTGGTTAGAGAATGAAGAAACTGAGGATAGCTATGAGGTTCTACGCAAAGCTGTGAAGGAGTATTGGGTTCCAATGAAAGAGTATTACAAAGCTGTAAGTCTTCATTTCAAACTCTTTCTACCAATATTTTTTCATAAGTTTAATTGTTTCATCCTCTTTCAAGTCCCTCATTATTGATCAGTCGTATGAATGGTTGGCGGAAAATTGGAATATGATAGTTCGGTTACTTGGCAGGCCGTTGATGCATTTGTTAAGGGAAATCATGACCAGGCATACAAGCTTCTGGAATCGGTTCTCTCTCTCTCTCTCTCTCTCTATGTGTGTGTGTGTGTGTGTGTGTAGTGATATCATATCATGCCTTAGATTTGAAACAGATTGAAATATTAGTTGTTATTTCGTTTAGCAAGATGAACCTTATCAGTTTCCTACATATTTCTTTAACTTTGTTATCTGCCACTAAGTGGGTTTGAGTTTGATGATCCAAAGGGATTTCTCTCTCTCTCTCTCTCTTTTGTGCAAGTAATAATTCATAAGCATGATGTATCCTGCAGATTATAGGAATTGGGAAAATCTGTGATGGATAATTGAATATGTTTTTTTTTNTTTATCTGCCACCAAGTGGTTTTGAGTTTGATGATCCAAAGGGATTTCTCTCTCTCTCTCTCTCTCTCTCTCTCTCTCTTTTGTGCAAGTAATAATTCATAAGCATGATGTATCCTGCAGATTATAGGAATTGGGAAAATCTGTGATGGATAATTGAATATGTTTTTTTTTCAGCAAGTGATTATTGAATATTCACCACATGAAATCATGAAGANACTTTGTTATCTGCCACTAAGTGGGTTTGAGTTTGATGATCCAAAGGGATTTCTCTCTCTCTCTCTCTCTTTTGTGCAAGTAATAATTCATAAGCATGATGTATCCTGCAGATTATAGGAATTGGGAAAATCTGTGATGGATAATTGAATATGTTTTTTTTTCAGCAAGTGATTATTGAATATTCACCACATGAAATCATGAAGAAGGTGGAATAACTCACAAAAAAAGTGGCACCTAAAGGAATAGATAAAGTTTTTTTTTAAGTTTGTCATTGGCTAATTGACTATGGTGCAATTGTTTTAGCCTTTCCTTTTGCCACATCACTATGTGTTGACAACTATTATTGCACGAATTGGGAGTGNGAGGTGGAATAACTCACAAAAAGAGTGGCACCTAAAGGAATAGATAAAGTTTTTTTTTAAGTTTGTCATTGGCTAATTGACTATGGTGCAATTGTTTTAGACTTTCCTTTTGCCACATCACTATGTGTTGACAACTATTATTGCACGAATTGGGAGTGGTATAGCGTTTTGGATATCTTGAAATCTCCATGCTAAAAAAGCTTTTATTGCATCTACTGTTGGCAACTGTTTTAATGTTACATTCTCTCTATTTGAGCTTAATTATCTTACAGTTGTCAACAGTGTCAGGGTATTTAGGCTTTAACAAAACAGAAGATTGAGATATCAATGGTTAACTGAGATACTTGTCGCCAGATCCAGCATATTTTGTATGCCTAAATGGTTTCCTATTAAATCACAAAATAATTTGAATTTTGGTAATGTATTAGCATTGCAATTATGGACACTTTAGACTTCCAACTGCTTTAATGATTGGACCATATATAGGGAATAGAGAAGGAAGGCAGGTGTTGACTTTGGTTTGTTGCCTTTAACTAGTACCTTGAGTGCTTTTCCTGCCTCTGTCAAAGGAAATGTGAAGGGTTCCAATTGGGACTTGGGTGCATGAGTGTTTTACTTCATTTATTTCAGAAATTATATGTTTGTATTACTTTAGACAACAAATAAAATAATAATTAGGTAGAAAATTTCCCTAATGTGTGCAATTTTGCCCAACATGTGTCTTTCCTGAGATGAATTCCATTTTGTTCTTGATATTGACTTCCTTTTTGTTATTTTTTACCTCATCTTTGTTTTCTTCGTAGGGACACTTTTTTATGAATAGGGCCCGAGAAGCAAATGAAAAATCTGCGCAAAAGCTTCTTGAAACTAGGTACGTGCAATATGTTTTTCTTTTTCTCTTGATAATCCTTTTTGGATTATCTTTCCACGTATTGCTTTAGGACATGGATTAACCGGTTAGAATTTGATTGCAGAGATGAGGAGGAAGAAGTGTCTCTTGATCTGCATGACCATACACCAAAGGAAGCATTACGGCTTCTGAAGCTTCATTTAATTTCTCTTTCAGGCATTCCATGTAGGTCTTCATTTTCCTACTTCATTTGTTTTGAATTGAGTTACAAGTAACACTCCTCTACACTGTCTTTTGATCAGCTATTCAGTATTTTAAACTCATAGTTGGGGCCAATGATGAAGATACCAAAGAAGGGGCTCGGAAGCGGCTGGTACGATCAGTTTGTCACTCAATAAATACGGTGCAAAAATAGGATGATTTTCGTACTTACATTGAAATAGAAGAACACCGGATGAANTGATGAAGATACCAAAGAAGGGGCTCGGAAGCGGCTGGTACGATCAGTTTGTCACTCAATAAATATGGTGCAAAAATAGGATGATTTTCGTACTTACATTGAAATAGAAGAACACCGGATGAAAAAATTAGTTATATTATAAGTCTAAGACATGATTAGTTGAGTACTAATATAATTCAAACGATACACCTACCAACACAAGTTTTCTATCTGATATTAGCAAATTATACNAAAAAATTAGTTATATTATAAGTCTAAGACATGATTAGTTGAGTACTAATATAATTCAAACGATACACCTACCAACACAAGTTTTCTATCTGATATTAGCAAATTATACAGGGAGGACAATATTACAAATCACTCATTAATTCATAATTATCGTTATCAGTTTAATACACAATATTTCCACTATGATTATGGTATTATGTAGTAATGTGAAAAAAGTGATATCTAAGTGAATACAGTCCCATGAAATCTATGTCAAGCTTCATGATGGCCTTAAAAAAAGAACGGCATTGACTGGAGTACAACAGGTGTCTAATATCTTCATTTTGCTATTTGGGATCCTATTTAGTCTTTACATCATGCAGGAGGGAGCGATTATTGTTATTTAGTTGGTTAATTGGGGTATTGTTATTGGGCATTATAGTGCCTGACTGCCAATGCCACACGGATCTCGATACAAACTTTTGGTGCTGGTTTCTGAAGTGACAATTCCTTTTCGCTTTTTATATTACAGTTCAAAAACGAAATTTACCATAGACCACATCATGCCCACATGGGTACTTGCGTAAGGAGAGGGTATCTTTGTGAACTTGGTTAACATGAAACATCTTCATCTCCTTTTTTGCAAACATGAACACCCCAATCAGGTAAAGATCCAGCAATAGGTGTGGTGGACAAAAATATTTTGCATCCACGCGTACAATGTTATGCACGGTTATTCCCCTTATGTTTAGCTTGCAGTTTAGCATAATTTGATGTTTTAGTATCTGCAACTTCCTCAATTGTTCAGTTGACTTACTAGAAAAAGAGTAGGTGTTGTTATCTTCTGAAAATTTCTGTTGCAGATTATAAAGCTACTGGAGAGGGAATCTATAAAATGGACCGAGGNTATCTTCTGAAAATTTCTGTTGCAGATTATAAAGCTACTGGAGAGGGAATCTATAAAATGGACCGAGGAAGGAAATGGTCGTGTGATAGTGATCCGGGTGGATAAGATCAATCCCAAACATTTGAGTTTTGCTGAGAAACCTGGGACAGATTGCAACGCATGACCTCATCTGAAGGGTGAAACTGATTTCAAAAATTTTGTAGTTGATAATCAACTTGGATCTTCATAGTTTTTGAAGTTTGATGAACCCATGTTCAGCTAAAAGAGAGGGTATATCATCTTGGCACTCCTTTTCTTCCCCTCGGGTGGCAACCATGAAGCCAAAATGTGGAAATTTGTTCCATTACCTTCAAACCTATAGGAGGGGAAGAAGTTGCAATTTTTGCTTGATTGAAGCTGGTATATTTTGTCGCCAAAAAGGGGGAAAAAAACAGGTACACAACTGGTAAATGACATTGGAAAGCATATTCATTTTGTTGCAATTCGTGATAATATATATTTTTCAGTTGATTATATATATATAATAAGATAGTTCACAAGTTGAATTTTATCTCTTACACATTTTCTCTCCAAAAAATGTCACATCATTCATTTCATTTGCACAATTATTTGAATATTTGATTAATTTATAGTTTAATATAATTTTTATTTTAAACATTATTCATATACGATAGTATACATATGTTAAAAAAATTTTGTTGGATTACGTATTTTGAAAAAAATTGTTGCTATTTTTTAGAACATAATGGATAAATATAGATTTTAAATGATGTAATCAAAGAAATGAAGAAAAGAAAAATTATTATATAATATAGTGAGGCTTTTTGGGGCGTTCCAATTTTAAGTTTTTTCATGTTTTCACGCATGAGAAATAATTAGTATATATATAAGTTACGTATTGGAGGAGGTCAATATATTTCTATTAAATAATTTAAACTTCGGAGAAAATAGAATTTGACGAGAGAAAGTTTCTCCAAGCAATTTTTTTTTTCTAAATTGATTCTTATAATGTATAAAGACTATTGGTATCCCGTGCGGATAATAATTTTACACTTAGACAATTTTCATGCATTCAAAGTTTTAAACAACTACAATTAGGGTTGATAATTGAACAAGTCCAAATGAGCGTAGTGAAGTCTGTTGAGTTTATTTATTTAAATGAGTATAAAAAATTATTCAAATATGATTTGTTTAGAAATGAATCGAGTGTGAAAAAACGCCAATCTGCTAACCTTGACTTCTCTCCAATAACCTACATTTTGCAAGGCCGTCCCCAGAAGAGAAATAATTGGTGAATTTGATCCATTTTATAAAAGATATTCACTTTAAACGAATAAAAAAAAGGAGTAATACTATATGGTTAAAAATTTAATTTAATTTGTTGACTTAATGATGTGATTTTATTAGAATCATTAGACTAACACTAAGTTTTGATATTTAATAGAATTTATAGTCAATCTAAAGATCATAATGAATTAAGTCGATAAATTAGATTAATAAATTAAGTCTCAATAACTTTGCTCAAAAAAATATATCTCATGGATTATATACCCATCTCAGCAAATGGGTGATATGTTAGAGCCCCATCAAGCATGTGTGATAAAGAAAGACAATACTAAATGGTAATTTCCATTTAGATACAGTCCGAAGATCGTCTCATGGACCCACACAAATTTTATACGAGTAGATTAAACCTCATAAAACAATAAAATAATTAAAAATTGACGGACAAAAATGAGACACATGATATGCAAATTTCTTTCATGGGTTTGAGCTTAAAAGTCTCTCCCCATGTGCACATAATGGTGGAGTTGAAGTCTGAAAAACAAATGCTGTTAATCACAAAACATCTTCATTAACCAAAAAAAAAAAAAAAAGCAACATACAAACAAAGAGATAAAAAGGAAAAATAGCTCATGAAGATGTGAACCCAGTTTAAATAGTCATAGTCTCATAAAGTTGAAAGCAACATCCAAAAATTCATATCAAGTTCAAATATGAAACTGTATAAACATAGATGAAAAGGGGAAATTACACCACCAAGTTAGATGAGTACCACCACCACCAACAACAAATTCTGATCTTTCTTTCTCTTTTGTCTCTGAAACGTGAAAAGAGGGATGCGCTGGAGATAGGGGAATTGAAAAGTAGGAGACGTGATTAAGTGGAGAGTTGATTTTTCGAAAGACAAGGACTGGAGGGAGAGTTCAGAATTGAGAAACCCAAGCAGTTAAAAAATGATAGTTATTTATCATTATCTAAGAGTAATGCTTCATGAACTTAAAAATTAGACTTGATAATTATAATTATTGATTTTACTATATGTCTCAGTATTTATTGGAACTCTTACTTATTCAATAATTTTGATTATCGAGTTTAATTTTTAACTTCATATAACCTTACTCCATTATCTAAAGGAAAAGATTAAATTATCAAGCAAAAATTGAAATGCCTAATAGAAAGAAGCCACATAAATTTTTCTAAAATTAAAAAGTAAAAAATCTAAAAAATTAGGGAATCTAGTTTTAAGACCTCTCCTTATTCCTCGACATAGAATCTTTATTTACTAAAAGAATGTATCTAGAAATGAGGAGAGGCCTTCATTCTACCAATCGTATTTTCTAGATTTTTTTGAATATTTTAATTTGCATAATCTTATGTGGCTTCCCGTTATTGGATTCTTTTAACATTTTCTTAACAACTTAATCTTTTACTTGGATAACTCCTCCTAACTTCTTAGTTGGACAACTGTTTATACAACTGGCTAGTGGATAACTTTACATTCTGATGGTGCTCGGATTTTGGGGCCCAAGTCCGATTATGATGGGATGATATTGTGAGAATGACTTTACAGATTGTGAATTAATCTTTTATGAACAGTTGGACAAGGAATATAAGTGGTTCACCTTAGCCGAATGACTAAGGTTACGTCCACTATCAACGGAGTCTCTTGCTCGTTGAGATTATGTATTCATCTGCCGGCAAAGTGCCTCTAGTGACTTGAAACTCAGGGTCCACTTATAAAGGATAATTATTTTGGTATTCTCTCTCAGCTTTCTACGCTTTCTCAAATGTTCTCTAATCTTTTTTGTTGGGGGAGATGCCGTTGTAGTCCTCTTCTTATCGTTATCCATTTATACCAGCTTCTCCTAGGGCCTCCAGCTATCCTTTTCTTTGACCCTCTTCTGCTTCTTCTGCCACCACGATCACTATTCATCTGGCGCTGCCATTGCCATGATCTCTGTTGGCTTGGTGCTCTACCTTCTCTAGGATAGTTGCAGGTGTTAGGGGTGGTCCCCTTGGACGCGTGGTCCCCTTTGCTAATCTAGAAATAGTTTGGATTGGGTTTTTACTCTCCAAATCGTCTTACGGTTTGGGTTAGACCTGGACTGCTGGGCTGTAGGCTTTTGCCGATGCCAAGTCCCGCTTTTTTGCTCAAGACCTCTTGGGTTGGTCAGGCGTCTAGTCCATCAAGGCCTGGCCATGAGTTTCGTCCATATTAGTTGCCCCCCTAGTCCCAGGTCATGAAGATGCTATCATTTCTGGCCTGGGATTAAAAATGACTTTTCTGGGCTTGTTATGGGCTTTCGAAGTGATGAATGTGCCCGGCTATTGGTTTTGATCAGGATTGGGCCATGCTTCCGTTTGTCGGCGATGATGGGATGACAATGTACACGTGTCACCATCGGGTGAGCTCGTGAAAATGACTTTTGTGGCGTGTCCTGTCACTTGCCTGTCACGAATTTAATGTTTCATACATACATATACGTCCTTCAAAAGAAAAAGGGGGAAGGTCTCTTGGCTTTTTGTTTTGTGTTTCCGAGTCCCACTTTTCTTCGTGCTCCTTTCCCTTTCTATACATTTGAAGTGATTTGATCCAGAATCTTGGGCGACTTACGACATCCTTGTTTCTGGTTCTACTCTNTACATTTGAAGTGATTTGATCCAGAATCTTGGGCGACTTACGACATCCTTGTTTCTAGTTCTACTATTCCTCTAGTGTTTCACTAGGTACGTCCTTCTTCTTCTCTCCTTGCTATTTTGACCTGAATCCATTTAACCCTCCCTGGTGGGGTTTTGGGTTTTGCTTCCTGATCTGGAGGTTTAGTTATTTTAGAGAGCACTCCGATGACCTTTCTTTCCTTTCGTGATTTATAAGTCATTCATTAGTGGCGAGGGTAGCCTTACTCAGGACCTGGTGTTTGAAATCTTTATTTTTGGTGGATTGTGCCTTGCATTTCCCTTCCTTTCATTTTGGTGTGAGGTTTGACCTTTGATGGAAAAATTTGTCGTTTCCTCTTCTTCTTCCGAGTCAGAATCTATTAGTGGAGAAACCGAGGAGACCACTACCGCTTCCTCTAGTGGGCGTTCTCTTTTCGCCGATGGCAGAGCCCCTGAGTCTACTACTAGAGTTACATCCCCGGTGCCTCCAGCCGAGGTTGCGCCTCTCTGCGCCCTGCCCCCTGGTTCTCCGACCCGAACAAAGAAGAGGAAATCCGGGCCGGCTCTGCCCCCCTTTCTAAAAAATGAACTCGTCGCGAACCGTCTGACCTGACTTATTGTGCGGAGGGGACACCTAGTTGTCTCAGTGATGAGGATTTGGAGGAGTTGAGGCATGAGTATCATTTTTCTGATTTCGTGGAATTACATTCCCCCGGGAAGCACGAAAGGTGCAATTCTATTCTTCCTGGACTCACTTGCTTCTTTGAGTCTGCATTTCAGGCTGGTCTTCGATTTTCTATCCATCTTTTTATCCAGAACATTCTCGATTTCTACAATGTCTGCCCTGCCCAACTGTCCCTCAACAGTTGGGGTCTCCTGGTCAGTTCCTCGTCCATTGGTTTGAGAGCGGGAACCTTCCCCTCCCCTCTATACGAGAATTTACTTTCCTTTTCCAGTTGAAATCTTCTCCCTCCTCAGGTTTCTTGTATTTTGCTAAACGACTAAAGGCGAAGACTTTGATTTTTGGGCTTCCGTCTTCCAATAAAGGATGGAAACCAAGGTTCTTTTTTGCCAAGGGTAATTCTTGGGAGTTGTTAGGGGAGTTTGGAGACGTTCCTCGTGTTCCAAGATCTTGGGGGGTCCCAAGGAACACTCATAAGGCTAATCTACCGGCCGCATTTCCTTTTGTTATCTTCTCTCCTTCTTTTCTTTGTGTTTCTAACTTTTGATCTGATTTGCAGAATTATGCCCAGTACTTGGCACGGAGGAGGCAGCCCGAATTGCTAGAATTGAGGCCTTTGGGTTGAGGGACTTCTTCAACTTNATTATATATATATAATAAGATAGTTCACAAGTTGAATTTTATCTCTTACACATTTTCTCTCCAAAAAATGTCACATCATTCATTTCATTTGCACAATTATTTGAATATTTGATTAATTTATAGTTTAATATAATTTTTATTTTAAACATTATTCATATACGATAGTATACATATGTTAAAAAAATTTTGTTGGATTACGTATTTTGAAAAAAATTGTTGCTATTTTTTAGAACATAATGGATAAATATAGATTTTAA